CGGTTTAAAGATATCAAATCTACCGATTGACCGAGTATATCTGACATAAGTTCACTACGGAAAGTTCAAAGGGAAACCTACTTATCCAGATGCAATTAATCCTTGCTTGCAAATCACACAAGTTTTTCATGCATACTTCCGTGATATAGCCATTCCCCATTCATATGAGGGATTGTTGAGTTTCTTTTTAAGATGAAAAAGTCTTAAAAAGAGGGTGAATGAGAAATGAAGGGAAAATGAAATTTTTGAGTAAAATTTTAAGTTTCCATCTCTTGACAATGAGACATTGTCCCATATTGGAAGAGGAAAAGGCTTTTGGTGGGTATATATACAATTCCTCTTCTTTAGCTCTTAAAGAGTTAAGAAGAAGGCAAGTCTCGCACCGTTGTCGTCGTCGCTCGCTCGGCTCGGCTACGGCTTCGGATTCGGATTCGGATTCGGATTCGGATTCGGATTTGGATTTGGTCAAATGATCGATTGATTAATATTTTGGACCAAATTTATTGGTTAATAGTGAATATTAACATAATATTACCCGTATTTGTAACAGATGTTTTCTAATCCATGGATATAATCCAAGTATTCCAGTAGCCTAGTGCTTCTCCCACCATGGCCAAGTGCTTGCTCCATAATAGCAAATGCTCTAAATGATTGCTCCAATAGCAGCCTAGTGCATGCTCCGCCATGGGCAAATGAATGACATTTCATCAGCTGGTTGCACTATAAATATGTGCAACAGCTTGTTGGGAAAATGGACAGAAACGAAATTGAGAGCAATCTTCCTGTTGTTGATCTCCTCTTCAGTTAAAACTCAACGTTGACTATAAATTGCAGTCCTTCCTCTCAGAATTTTCATTCGACTTCTGAATTCTCCTCCTTTGTTCTGCATTGTTTTAAACTACAAACAAAGCAATCGTAAGTGTGATTTGCTACCGAACTTTGTGTTCGGTGAAACACTGGGGTTTGAAGTACCGCTACACCAGTGTGTAATTCGTTCTATCCTGGGAGAAAATAATCCATAACCTTGGGTACTAGGAGGAGATTTAAATTCCTTAAGGAAACACTGCAAATTCAGTGGGCTCGAATTAATTACTATTTCGTTTATATTTAAGTTTATACGCTAACTTTCTTTTCTCTAAAATTATTATTTACAAATACAGTGAGAACCAACAATTATATTATACACCACACATCATGATGGGAGTGAAATTCAAGATTAGCCTGATTTTTAGCTGTTAGTTAAAAACTTATTATAGTTTCAAATTCAATCAAAATTTAGCTATTTTTTCATGCGGAAATAATATCTGAAAAAATATCCTCAGTTAAAATGCGAAAAAATTCCAGCACAATATGTTGGAGTTTAAATTTTTTACATATGAATTTCCAGAATAATATGCTAGAGTTTTATATGCACGAGTTCCATAATCCAGCATATTATATTGGATTTTTTCTGTTTCAGCTAAAAGTATCTTATCTAAATTCTATTTTCGCATTAATTATTAGCTATTTTTCAATTATATTACAAATACTGGCGATCTTTTAGTTATCGGTCCAAAAACTGGCTATCCTGAAGATAATTTAATTCATCTTCCTTCAAGCTAGCTCCATTCCTGCCTGCTCCCACCTAGAACTCGACTTCGAATAAAAATTTAATGGAATATATTCTTTTAGATTATGTGATACTTTTATTTTTAAAGTAGCATCTTTGGTACGTCTAGTTAATTAGACAATACAATAGTATCAATTATTTTAACTAATTTGGATTTTAAGCAATTTTTAACAAACATAGATTATCGACTAAAGCCTCATTGATTCGCCTGACAGAATAGGGGAAGCACCATTCATTTGGGCCCTCTTCTTTATAAGCCATTCTCTCCTATGGGCAGTGCTCCTTAAGGTAGTTCTTGGGCTTAGCCTATCTTTACACGAATTGCCTGCCATATTCATTATTTACTTTTTCTAGCCATATACATAGATTATATATTTATTATACACACATAATACATAATTTATATATATATATATATATATATATTATACCTTCTCCGGCTATTTTTAGTTTAAATTTTTGGGTGGGCGGATATTTGGGTTGATCTTCTAATTTTTTGGGGCAAGTTACACATTGGTCCAGTCGAGTGGCCATAAATAAGGGAGAAATTAAAAAAATAGCCAGATTTACAAGTGGTAATTGAAAAATAATCACAGTTTCAAAAGTAATCGAAATTTAGCCATTTTTCATGTAAAGATAAATTTGAACGAAAACACTATTCAAAATCCGAAAAATATTCTACCATAATATACTGGAGTTCCAATATAATATATTGGACTTCCAGTATATTATGTTGGAGCTTCAGTATATTATACTGAAACTCCAGTATAATATGCTGAAAGTTCATACACAGGTACTCCAATTTCCAGTATAGTATTGGGTGCAGGGGTGGAGAGCTAGAGTATAGATGCGAGTTCGGCTGAACCCAATAGTTTATGTTCAAATTCTATAATTGTCTTAAGAAATTCATCAAATATATACAAATTATTAATTTAGAATCCAGTAACGTAAAAAGATTACAATCCGAACCTAAATACTTCAAATCTTAGCTTCGCCGCTGATCAATGAGGCCGTTGGTACAATTTGCTGTGTAATTTCTCCTATAGTAAAACTATACTGGACCATGAAAGGATCACCGCGGTTTCAATAAGCCCATCCTCTTTAAGTTTTTATGCATTTTTATTAATAGCTTTTTACTGTCTATAAAAATATTTAAATGTGACACAATATAGGTTCTTCAATTAATGAAATAATCTCACGTTTTATTGGACGAACAGATTTCTTTTCTTTAGAACGAATATAATCCTATCTTCGAGAAAAATGTTTTTCAGGAAAACTAATAAGAATAGTTATAAACCATACAAAACAATACAAGAACACACGCCCGTTGACTAACCAATATTGACATTATCATAACTATGGACAATAATAAAACGTAACATCATCTTTAAACCAACTAGTATTCTTATTAGTCAAAAACAATTGTATGGTATCTCGTAGGTAAAGAGTAAAGAAATGGTAGATCGAGACGGAACAAAACATATTATATATAATTAGCAGTATTTTAGACTAAATGTCATATTGAATATTATTCCAACTTCTTACTTTTGGCTTGGAATCCTTTCCTTCATTTGCCCAAAACCCCATCACCTTTTTAACTTTCGTGTGAATTTCTTTATGGACTTTGACCATCTCTACAATCCATTCGTGCTAACCTGAAAAACCAACAAATCTTTCTTTCTTTCTCTTTTTTAAAGGCATATCCATGACATGACCAAAAGCAACTCCCAAACCCTAAAAATATCTACCTCTTTGTGACTGAATCTTTTTTTATGAAGTATTTAACACGTAAATACTAGTTTAGGAGATTTACAGGATTTTCCTTAGCAAAAGTAGATATCTACAGCAATCACAGCTTATGTCACAGGTTGTTGGGAATCAGAAATCCTAACAAGATGGCTGAACTCTTTTGTTTTTCGCTACCTACTAATCTTCTAGATGCAGAGATTGAGGTTACATTATGTAAAACCCTAATCATTCTTTTATGATGAAAAATATATTCTTTTCAACACCTATAGTTGTGTTTATATACGCTAGTATTATAGTTTTTTCGGAGGACTTCTCCGTATACTTGCAACCCTAAATTTCTTGCCATATCTTTTTCTTTGTTTTGGAATTCTTTTTCATGACTTTTACTTTTTCCCTTTTGAGAAGAATCTACTTTTTTTTGCTTTTTATAAACTGATCACGCTTCTACTCAAAAGCACTTTACCTTTTAAAGTTTGGCGAAATATCTTAATTTTTAGGGAAAAAAATACTTTTAGCCAAAAAGAAACTTGGTTAAATAGGCTTATACGAATTGCAAGATAAATGGGGCCTTCCATTTTGAATAAGGTGTGGGCCTATCCCATCACTCACAGCATGCAAATGTTTGTGCTAAGGTTGGAAACTATCAATTTGTAGGGTTGAAAATTTAATCCAAGAAATGAACATTATTTATCTTTCATTTCTAAATGGGTCCCTTTTGTGAGTCCTATCCAATTTTTCATAATCTCAAAGATTTTTCTTTGGGATAGTATTGGGTGCAGGGGCGGAGAGCCATGCGAGTTCGGCTGAACCCAGTAGTTTTTGTTCAAATTCTATAATTGTCTTAAAAAATTCATTAAAATATATAAATTATTAATTTAGAATCCAATAACTTAAAAAGATTACAATCCAAACCTAAATACTTCAACTCGTAGCTTCGCTTATGATTAGTGGGGTCGTTGGTACAATTTGAAAGAGAGACAGATGAATTGGAGAGACAGAGAAAAATGAGAAGATAGATTGAGAGGGATAAGCTTCATCTAAATTGGAGACTAAAATCAAAGAATACAATGGTGGGCTTAAATTACAACAAAATGAAAAGTATTGTTAAGTAGGGTAATCGTGTGAAAGTATTTCCAAAAAATATAATTAATGCTCCTAAATTATGATGTGGTATAAAATTTCGTAAAATATAATACCTCGTGGCTATAATATAAAGATAGCTATAAATAATTTTTGTTGTGGCAAAAGAATAACATAATTTTCTGTGAATATATTTTTTCGTGGCAAGAGATTTTTATCATTATAGCTATGAAAGAAATGTAAAGCAGATTTGTGAAATTTTCTCTATGTCTTATTTCATCATTCTGTATCAATATTTATACAAGTGGCTAATCTAACAAGAAGAAAAAAAGAATCTAATTATTTGTACACTTGTACAAATCCTATCGCAAGTCCTATAATAGAAAATAACAATAATATTTATTTACAATGTATTTACATGTGCTTTATGTTCTCTTGTTCTAGCTGTTCAGATTGTGTAATCAACAACTGAGATTTAGCTTCACTTGGATGGTTAAGATATATCCACGTGTATAATCAAAAGGGCCCAAATGATAGAGATAACATAGAGATGTCCGAACTCTATCTATTTGTCTCAAACCCTCCTGTCTTCTTTTTCTCTTCTTTAATCAAAAATCTCTTCTTTGATATGGAAGATTCTGCAGAAAAATTAGCATATGGCTTCTCTTCTTCAACATCCCCCTCAAGTTGGAGGGGAGAGATAAAACCCCCTAACTTGCTTAAGATAGACCGGTGAGAAGCCCCAGATAAAGGCTTGGTGAATAAATCGGCTAGTTGATGATGTGATGGTACAAAAGAGAGACTAATTAAGCTAGAAAGGAACTGTTGCCGCAAAAAATGACAATCTAACTCAACATGTTTGGTTCGTTCGTGGAAGACGGGGTTATGAGCAATGTGTATGGCGGTTTGACTGTCAGAGTGAATCGGAACCAGAAGAGTGGTAAAGATGAAAGATCGTTAAGGAGACGAACTAGCCATGTGATTTCAGCTGTAACGCATCGCGTCGAATGGTACTCTGCCTCAGCAGAGAAAAGGGAAACAAATACCTGCCTTTTAGACTTCCAGGAAATTGGTGCTCCCCCAAGTGTGATGAAGAAGCCACTGACAGACCGACGAGATTCTTTGCAAGATGCCCAATCCGCGTCGCAGTATGCTAGTAAATAAAAAAAGGGTTCTGAGGAGAGAAGAATCCCTGGCCTGGATCTCGACTCAAATAGCGTAGAACATGCATGGCAGCTAAGAAATGAGATGCGCAAGGGCGCTACATGTATTGGATGAGAGAAAGAACAATTAAGCACAAATTCGGTCTTGTGTTGGTTAAAAAATTGAGTTTGCCAACGAGATGCCGATAGACAGTACGGTCTGTTAAGAAAGGGCCAACATCTGCCTACAATTTGCATGATGGATCAAGTGGAGAGGTGACAACTGCCCCAGAGTAATCAAACTCTTGCAAGAGTTCCAAGGTATATTGTCATTGAGTGATGATGAATCCTTATTTTCTCGCAAAATTTCCATTCCTAAAAAGTAGTGTATATCTCCTAGATGCTTGACTTTGAACTATGTATTAAGAAAGTCTGTGATAGACTGGATTTCCTTGCAATCATCCCCAGTTAAAAAATGTCATCGACATAAACTACTATTATAGAAACCAAATTTCCATTGTGTTTGAAGAATAGAGAATAGTCATTAAGAGAGCTAGAATAACCTTTGTAACTGAGAGCCCCTGCTAATCTAGCATACCATTGTCTAGAAGCTTATTTTAGACCATATAATGATATTCTCAAAAGACAAACCTGATTTTGGTTAGGAGGAGTTGGGCCCTTTCTTGTAAGTCACCATGTAGAAACGCATTGTTAACGTCAAGCTGTGAAACAACCCAGTCTCGCCTGACTGCCACTGTGAGAAGACACCTTATGGTTGTCATTTTGACAACAAGTGAAAAGGTCTCAGAATAATCAATTCCATCTTTTTGAATATCCCCTTTACTACTAATCTAGCTTTCAACCTTTCCACTGAGCCATATGTCTTGTGTTTCACTTTATAAACTCATTTACAATGCAATGACTTCTTACCTAGTGGCAGATCTACTATATCCCAGGTATGGTTCTGCTCAAGAGCAGCAATTTCTTCTTGCATGGCTTTCTGCCATCCTGGAAGAGTAGAAGCTTGTGCAAAAGTAGTAGATTCTGATATAGAGTCCATCCCCTAAACAAATTGCTGATTGTGTACTAATAATGCTCCAAAGGAAAACGTAGTGGGTTAAGAGGGTTGTGCAAGATAAGAATTGGTGAAATCTAAGAGATAGATGCTACTGCAGATGTAATCCTTGAGATATGCAGGTTTTTGACTAATCCTATTAGATTTCCTTAGAAGTGGTGATAAAATAGGAATTGGTATGCTAAAGGTGTGTTGAGGTGAAGTAGTGGTACTTTGGTAGGAGGTCTGATTGGGGCTGTTGTAGGAATTTTGAGTAGAAAAAGGAGAAGAGGATGGACTGGCATCAAAATGTAGACTAGAGAAAGAAGGGATAGGTGAATGGGCATGGCTTGGAGGAGAGGAAATAGAACTAGAGGTAGTTTGTGAATTTGAGGTAGGGTGAATGATGGAAGAAGACACAGCTTGAACCCCTGAGTCCTGCACAACTGGAGTGTTAGGAAAGAAAGTGCAAGGTGAACTGATGTGCATGTTTTTGAAAGGAAAGTTGTTTTCATAGAAAATGACATCTCTAGAGACAAAAACTTTGCTACTATTGAGCTCTAGAAGCTTGTAGCCTTTTTGGTTATGTGCATAACCCAAAAACACAAATTTATTAGCTCTAGGATCAAATTTTTCTCTGTTGTGTTCTAGAGTAGAAGCATAGAACAAACACCCAAAGCACCTGATGAAATCATAAATAGGCTTCTTCCCAAATAACATCTCATAAGGTGTTTTTCCCTTAAGAACACTAGAAGGAAACCTATTTATCAAATAAGTTATAGTCAAGGTGCATTCTCCCCAGTAAAGAACAGGGACTTGTGATTGGAAGAATAGACCCCTTGCAACCTCCAAAAGGTGTTTGTGCTTCCTCTCTACAACCCTTTATTTGTTGTAGGGTTGCTACACAACTCCTTTCATGAATAATGCCTTGGCTTTCAAGAAAAGCTACTTCTTGACTTCCTTTCCCTAGTTCCGATTCATTATCTGATCTTATCCTTTTTATCTTTAAATTGAACTGTGCTTCCACCATGATTAAGAAGGATCGCAAGACTGGAAATGCATTGCTCTTGCAACTTACTAAGAAGGTCCAAGTAGCTCTGTTGAAGTCATCGAAAATTGTTAAAAAATATCTAAAACCATTGTATGTAGGTGTCATAAATGGTCCCTAAGTGTCAACATGAATTAATTCAAAAGCATTTTTGGTTTTGATGTGACTAGTAGGAAATACCAATCTAGTTTGTCTAGCTTGATGGCTTATAAAACACACATGATCAAAATTTGATGGAAATTGAATGAAACTAAGATTTCTCATTATTGAAAATGGCAAATGTCTCAACCTGATATGCCATTAAAGTACAGTAGAAACTAAATTAACTGACATAGAATTTTGAAAAGAAACAATATTAGAACACAACTGGAATCACATTCTTTTGGAATAGAAACTACATTTTGACCTAAGAAACTACTAGAATCTAAATTGGTTGGTTGCAGCAGGTATAGTCCATCTCTTATCTCACCAAAAACTTGTCCTCTCCTCGTTAAAGGGACCTGCAACATACATCCAGTGGATGTTAGATTTAAAGAACAATTGAATTGTACACAAAACTTGTAAACTGATTACAGATTGTACTTAAAAGAGGGCACATAAAGTACTCTTTGAAGAATCATATCAGGTTGGATGGGAACTCTTCCTATATGTGTGACATGCAATTGAAAAGAATTAGGAAGATTAATATGTAAAGGCATAGGTAAAGGAGTTAGCTCTGGGAAAGAATTGGAATCAAAATACATGTATTCAGAAGCTCCTGAATCAATAATTCAAGTTTTAGTGCTAAAAACTATCAGACAAGTTCCAGAATATTTGAGTACTGTACCAGCCACAACATTTGCATTAATCTCTATCCCTCTATTTCATGTATGTCCAATGTGCACCTGTTTGATTAGGTTAACTAGCTCTAAGAGTTGTTCTTTGCTGAAGTGCTGACTGTAAGTGCCCATTGATCTTTCACTAGAAGGATTATTGGTACAATCATCTTTCTTAGCTCCAACTACTGCATTAGCCTTAGCTTCTCCCTGATACACATTTGATTTGGTGAACTGGAAGTCATCTGGGAACCCTATTAATTTGTAGCAGTTTGCCCTGAGATGTCCTGTTCTCATACAATGGTTGCAGCTCATATTTGGATTATATTTGGTTTTCCTAGCTTTGAACTTTGTTGAGTGTTTCCAGATTTTTGTGATGCATTCCAAGTCTTTTAAGTTTGATTGTTGTACTTCTGTGGACTTCTTGTTTGTGTACCTACCATGAAAGATGGAGCATCAGTAGGGTGCATTGGGTTGATGTATCATTCCTTTTTACCTTCATCCTATAATAGTAAAGAATAAGCAACATTCATGGTTGGAAGGGGGTTCATCATCAGTATGTTCCCTCTTACCTGGCCATATGTATCATTAAGTTCCATAAGGAATTGGATATTCCTTTGATATTCCATAAATTTGGCTTGCGTCTTCTTTCCTTCACACACACAGTCACATGTGCATCCTAAATGTGAGTTTAGAGAATCTAGCTCATCCCACAACCTTTTCAATGTGGTAAAGTACCCTGCTATGTTGTTGTTTCCTTGTACTTACCTTGTTATTTCCTTTTGTAGGTTATATAGTTTGGCCGCATGTGACTGGCCAAATATATGCTCAAGGCTACCCCATAGTTCCTTTGCACTCTTTGAGTAGAGGACACTGTCACCAATATCTTTTAGACAATGAATTCAGCAGCCATGAAGTCACCATGTCATTGCACCTGCTCCAAAGTGGATGGTCTTTGGAAGTTAGATGTGGTACATCACAACTCCCATCTATGAAGCCTAACTTGTTTTTGTCTAGGAGTGCTATAAGCACTGACCTTCTCCATCCGGAAAAGCCTCTTCCATCAAATGGTGAGTTTACAACTGTCATACTAGGTGCATCTGAAGAATGTAGAAAATAAGGATGATTTGTATAATGATTTGGTCCATTGTTAGATCAACTAGAGGCAGTAACAGTAGGAGGAGTCTCTGTTCCAATCATGATTCAATGATTGGATTGAAGAACAAAATTTGAGAGAGTAATTGAATGGATCGAGCTAGAGCTCTGAAACCATGAAAGAAATGTAAAGTAGATTTGTGAAATTTTCTCTGAGTCTATTTCATCATTCTGTATCAACATTTATACAAGTAGCTAATCTAACAAGAAAAAAAAAAAGAATCTAATTATATGTACACTTGTACAAATCCTATTTCAAGTCCTATAACATAAAATAACAATAATATTCTCTTACAATGTATTTATATGTGCTTTATATTCTCTTGTTCCAGCTGTCCAGATTGTGTAATCAACGGCTGAGATTTAGCTTCACTTGGATGGTTAAGATATATCCACGTGTATAATCAAAAAGGCCAAAATGATAGAGACAACATAGAGATGTCCGAACTCTATCTATTTGTCTCAAACCGTCTGTCTTCTTCTTCTCTTATTTAATCAAAAATTTTTTCTTTGATATTGAAGATTCTGCAGAAAAATTAGCATAGGGCTTCTCTTCTTCAACAAACTACAACACCAAAAGGTTTGTAGCAATACGTACTATTCCTTAGCCATAGACCATGTAAAGCCCTAAATTAACTTTTAGCTACGTAATATTTTGCCTCGAATGCTACGAAATATTTTTTGTGGATAAAATGTTTAGCTACAGAAATTTTCATATTTATTTACGATGTATTTTGTAGTTGTATATGCATAATCTTGTAGTGACAGTACAAAGTAAATTTGAGCATCTTTCGTAATTCAAAAGATATGCAATGTTTCCGATCCTAGCTAGCAAGGAGAAGCGGGTTTACTAATACGTACGTAAGCTATATATACGTAAATTAAACTAAAATTAAAAAGTGAGAGTTTATTGGTCAAGAGTTTTATTGGAATATATAGTTAAGTGTATAAGATATGGGGACCTAAATGTACATAGTAGAAGTTAGGGGTGTTAGAGTTATTTTAGTTAGTTAGTAACTAATTGTTAGTTAAGAGATGTATATAGTCGGTTGTATTGTTCTTAATTAGCTCAATTGAGCTATTCTAAATCTAGAACTTTCTTCTCCAAGCTTCATCTTCTAACATGATATCATAGCAATAGAGAGCGATCCATGGATGCAAAGGCTCAATTCAGTAAAATCTCTTCTTAACATCTCTTAAATTGAAGCTGATAGTTGTGTTCTTAAATTTTTAGCATATAAATGAAATTTCTGCAAAATTTGCTCGATTTTGTCACTGTTTTTTCTTTGATTTTTCTATTTGATTGAGTTTGAAATCACACGTTAATAGCGAAAAAGACAAAGATCGATTATACTCATCCTTTGTTCCTACAACCTTCTGAGACTCCTAGACTGGTATTGATTCCAATTCAACTCACAATATTTGAAAATTATGGCATGTGGAGTAGATCTATGCGTCTTGCTTTAAAGGAAAAGCGTAAGTTAGGGTTCATTACTGGAACATACATTAAAGCCTCATTTGAAGATGAATTGCATAAGTAATGGGAGACATGCAATGAAATAGTCCATTCATAGATTATGAACTCAGTTTCAAAGGATCTATTGAGTGGAATAATTTATGCATCAGATGCGCATGCAGTGTGGGAAGATCTTAAGGAGCGATTTGATAAGGTGAATCGAGTGAGGATTTTCCAATTGCACAGATGAATTTCGAGGTTATCACAAAAATCTAACTCTGTTGCTGTGTATTTCACAAAACTGAAAGAGTTATGGGTTGAATATGATGTACTTGTACCTTCTCCAAATTGTGGATGTGTGAAATCGAAGGAATATGTTGTATATCTTCATCAACAGAGGCTGATGCAGTTTTTGGATGGTCTGAATGACACTTATAACCAAGCTCGAAGACAGATTTGATGAAGACAACTGAACCTATTTTCAACCAAGCATATGTTATGATCACACAAGTGAAAGCCAACAGTCTATGGGAGGTGGTGCAATGGCAGAAAAAGTGGATCCTATGGTAATGCAAGTTGGAAGAGGTCAAGGTTTTCGAGGGAAGAAACAGTTCCTACCGTGTTGCCATATAAAGGGACACACTAAGGAGAATTACTTCAAAATCATTGGTTACCCTGAAGATTTCAAAGGGAAGAAAAATTATCGGACTAGAGAATATAAAACTAAGGGTCCTTTCACTACAGTAAACAATGTAGAAGGACCAGTAGCTTCCAACTCACAAGGGGCATTACAACAGAAAGGAGATTACTTCTTTACTGAAGCGCAGTACCAGCATATACTTCACTTACTCAACAAGGATGAAAATACTAATGATCAGACACAAGCAAACATGGCAGGCAATATTGTATCTCTTGCCTCAAGTGTCTCTAATTACAATTGGATAGTGGACTCAGGAGCCACACATCACATAGCATCCTCACTAGAATTACTACAAGATGTCAAGAATGTAGATAGTTATAAAAGGGAAAAGGTGAGACTACCAAATAGAGACAGTACTGATGTTACACATATTGGTAGTACACAAATTTCAGCAGATACTAAACTGGAAAATGTGTTGTATGTTCCTGACTTTAAGTTTAACTTGATGTCAATTTCAAAGTTTATCAGGGACTTACAATATGGTGCTCTATTCCTGCCCAAAATATGTGTATTTTGGACCTTTACAGTGGCAGGGTGAAGGGGATTAGTAAGGAAACTGGTGGCCTTTATATAATAAGAGGAAGAAGAACAGAATAAATAGTTGTTCATATCAGTTTAGTGGAGATGAACAAAGATACAGGAGAACTTTGGCATAGAAGATTAGGACATCCTTCATTACCAGTAATGCAACGTATTTTTTTTTGCATAATAAAGTAGACAGTGCAATACACAATAAATGTTCTATTTGCCCATTGGCTAAGCAACATAGGTTAAACTTCTCTACTAGTGAGCACCTAAGTACTAAGCCTTTTCAGCTTGGAGTATGGGGACCTTTTAAGGTAGCTACCCATGATAATAAGTACTACTTTCTTACAATTGTTGATGATTTCACTAGAACAACCTGGATTTTTCTCATGCAGTTGAAAAGTGAAACAATAATATTTCTCAAACAGTTCTTTTGCATGGTACAAAATCAGTTTGGTGTTTGTGTTAAGACAGTTAGGACAGACAATGGTAAGGAATTCTTTAATCATCAATGGAATGTTTTCTTGCAAAATCATGGAGTAATTCATCAAAGTATTTGTGTGCACACTCCACAATAAAATAGAGTGGCTGAAAAAATATAGACACATCTTAGATACAGCAAGAGCACTGAAGTTTCAGGCTGAAATACCAAGTAAGTTTTGGGGAGAATTGCAAATAATTGTTTATCTTATAAACAGACTGCCTACTAGAGTATTAGGTGGTAAGATTCCTTTTGAGTTACTACATGGCAGATAACCCTCACTAACACATCTAAGAACCTCTGGATATTTGTGTTATGCTACAAATATGGTCAAGGAGGGCAAATTTGGCCCTAGAGCCAGGAAAGCTATTCTAATGGGGTATTCCACTACTCGAAAAGGATATAGACTGTTTGGCAGACAGACTAGCTCTTTCTTTGTGAGCAGGGATGTCATATTCAGGAAATCAACATTTCCTTTACTTATCTCACAGCACCAACAATTTGCGACCACTAATCAATTCCCAAGTCACATAGATGATGTCTTTGAAACAATGCAAAGGGAGGAGATGACCACCATGGATGCAGAACCCTCAGATTCAACAAGCATGGAATTCAATAACACAAGTTCAGATGCAGATGCAGCTCATGATGTGGACGACAATAATGGTGATGTAGAAGAACAAACAGATACCACAGATGTAGCTGATCATGATATAGCTGATCATGCAGATACACCAGGAAATACAGAATCACAAATATCAACTGAAGTGGTCCCGACTGAACTTTCCATGGCACCTACTGCTCCTACTGCTATTAGACAGTCAATAAGAACAAAAATCCCTCATATTTGGATGCAGGATTATCTAGTTGGTGGAAAGAAGAATTCCCAATGTCCTTATCCAATATCAAACTTCCTATCTTATGACAATACCACACAGAAATACATGGACGACATCATGGCTTTCTCTATAATCACAGAACCACACAATTTAGGGAAGCAATGAAAGATGACAGATGGATACAAGCCATGAAACAAGATATTGAAGCTTTAGAGGACAACAAGACATGGGTTGTGGTGGACCTGCCACCTGGGAAAGCTTCCATAGGATCAAAATGGGTCTACAAAATCAAGTACAAAGCCAACAGAGAGGTGGAGAAGTTTAAGGCTCGACTTGTTGCCAAAGGATATAATCAACAAGAAGGTCTAGATTATCATGAGACCTTTTCACCTGTTGCAAAAATGGTGACAGTTCGATCAGTCATAGCATTAGCTGCCTTCAAAGACTAGTCTCTCTATCAAATGGATGTCTTCAATGCTTTTCTGCAAGGAGACCTAGAGGAGGAAGTTTACATGGACCTACCACAATGTTTTCAAAGATAGGGGGAGAATAAGGTTTGCATGTTGTTGAAATCTCTCTATAGACTTAAACAAGCATCAAGGCATTGGAATCTTAAGCTTACAGAAGCCTTGCTTAGTGCAGGCTTCGGTCAGAGTGCCTATGACTACTCCTTATTCACTAAAAGGTCTGGAAGTGAGATAGTGATCAACCTAAGCTATGTGGATGATCTATTGCTAACAGGAAGTAGCATAGAGCTCATTAATGAAGCCAAATCAATATTGTATAAGAAGTTTAAGGTGAAGGATTTAGGTGGTTAAGATATTTTCTTAGGATTGAAGTCTTGAGGTCTTAGAAAGGGATTCTTCTCAATCAAAGAAAATATACTCTAGAACTCATTTCAGAAATACGCTTAAGTGGAGCTAAACCTGCTGTTACACCTCTAGAACTCAAACAGAAATTGACTTCTATTGAGTATGATAAGGGGATTGGCAGTCAAGGCCTTGACCCTTTGATAGATGCCACAAGTTACCAGAAATTGATTGGAAAACTCTTGTATCTCACAGTCACTAAAACCAGACATTAGCTATGCAGTACAAGTCTTAAGTCAGTTCATGCAAGCTCCAAAAAGATCTCACATGGATGTTGCTACTCATGTGGTGAGGTATCTCAAACAAGAGTCAGACATGAGAGTGATCATGCAAAGACAACAAACAGATGTCTTGGTTGGATTCAGTGACTCAGACTGGGCAGCATGCCTAATGAGTCGAAGGTCAGTTAGTGGTTACCTTGTTAAGTTTAGAGATTCCTTAATCTCTTGGAGGTCAAAGAAGCAACACACCGTTTCTCGCAACAGTGGTGAAGCTGAATACAGGAGTATGACATCTGTAGTAGCTGAGATTGTGTGACTGAGGGGACTGTTTGCAGAACTAGGAACACCAATTCACCAACCAGTTCTCTTATCCTCAGATAGTAAGGCAGCAATTCAAATAGTTACTAATCCCATCTTTCATAAACGAACAAAGCATATTGAAATAGATTATCATTTCATCAGGGAGAAGCTCAAGCAAGGGATACTGCAAACACAATATGTATCTACACAACATCAACAAGCAGATATTCTCACTAAAGGATTGGCATCACCTTAACATCAGTTTCTACTTAGCAAGTTTGGTGTGTTAAACATTTTATACCCTTCAGTTTAAGGGGGAGTATTGGAATATATAGTTAAGTGTATAAGATATGGGGACCTAAGTGTACATAGTAGAAGTAAGGGATGTTAGAGTTATTTTAGTTAGTTAGTAACTAATTATTAGTTAAGAGATGTATATAGTCGGATGTAATGTTCTTAATCAGCTCAATTGAGATATTCTGAAATCCAGAACTTTCTTCTCCAAGCTTCATCTTCTAACAAGTTTATAACTTAAATTGTAGTTTTACCAGTTTGAAAGTTGGGCCTTTTCACGTTATCATATTAATTATACGTACGTAAAAAAGAAAAACTATAATTTTAAAGTCATTAATTATAGCAGGAATAGCATTAAAAAGGGACCTGATCGTTTTATGTACAATTTTTTCATGCTAATAAACATAGTATGTGGGATTGTTGACTATTAGGGAATTTCTTCATTCTAATTAACATAGTTTGTGAAGAAATAAAGAGTGATAATGATTATATAAATCCTTAATCAGACTGTCTTGGGTTCGAGCTTTTGGTATGAAGTCGTCTTTGTTAGGAAGCGTTTTACCTTCCAATGTAAAAAATTTCGGTACAAATTTGGATTTAGTCAGGCCCTAATACAAGTATCCGGACACCCGGGGAAACCAAAAAAAATGATCGTTTATAAACAATTTCTGTATGATTTTACTTAACTAAGCTGGAGATGTTGTATCATTATATCATCATTGCCTCGCTCTCCATTATAATGTGTATGCAAAATGCATGTAAAACTGACAATGCCAACTCAAAACAATCAAATTAAGAATTAAGTTAAAGCGTTAGATCACAAGGTGTTCTTTTCAACTATTCCTTAAGAGAATTCCAATAAATAGTTTAGCCACGCAATTATTGCTGTCATCATGTCGTAATTAAGACTATTAACTAGCTCACTATTAGACATATCGAGTTGGTGATTCGTACTTGTACATATTTTTTTAAAATTGATCGTTCAGTTAGCCGTTAATAAACTAAGTTTAATGATCGATTCTTCTTTTTTTAAAACATCTCACATGCAGAGAGAACGCTAAGATCTCAGGAAGCCCATCTTGAACATGTTTTTTTTTTTTTTTTTAATTTCATGAAATTATAATGTTTTTAACTACAGCGACTGAATTGAACTTGGGGTAATTTGGTTCACATGCTATATGAGCAGTATAATGGTATTTTTATGCGACAAATAATAGTTATGAATACTCCCTCCGTTCTAATTTATGTAAACATGTTTGACTGGGTACGGAGTTTAAGAAAAAATGAAGACTTTTAAAATTTGTGGTCTTAAACAAGTCAAAAATGGGCCCAAATTATTTGTGTGGTTATAAAAGCTTCTCATTAAGCGTAAATTGTAAGTTTAAGCTAAATTGTTACCAAATTTAGAAAAAGGTCATTCTTTTTGGAACGAACCAAAAATAAAATAGGTTCACATAAACTGGAACAGAGGGAGTACCATTTATTTGGGGCGGGTTAAATTTGATCTGGACAAGGGAGCCACATGGCCCAATTTTTTGTCAGGGGCGGCTCGACATAATATGGGGCCTAACAGCTTGTTTGGAGATTGTTATATATCGTTTCATAATATTGTATCGTATTGCATTCTATTGTACTATATTGTTTGATGAATACAATATTTGGATGAATTGTGTCGTTTTGCCATCATTTCATGGTATCACGCACTGGTAATATGATGAATAAACTTGTAATATTATCAAAAAAATTATGATATGGTATATAAAAAAGGTAGGGTAAATGATAAAATAAAATTATTTAATAATAATGAAGGGTGAGATTGAGAGAAAACGACAAGGTAACGATGCGACCACACCAAATCGGTCGTTACATAAAGTGACACATTTCACGTTACGTAACGACAAATTTAACGATACGATATATTAAATTTAAGTAACAATCAAAACAAACATTGTATTTAAAGTAACAATACGATACAATACAATAGGTAACAACCATCCAAACACGCTATAAGCCGAAAATAAAAAGTAAGGCCTTAAATTTTTTTTTAAAAATATTTTCTTAACTTATAATTTATCGAAATCTAAAGAAATTATAGTCAGTTTTAATTATTGGCAACGTTTAACAAATTTGTTTAATCTCTCTTGTGTTATCATGTTAACTTTAATGATTTAGTTTTGAAAAACTTTTTCAACCGAGGCAACTGATATAAAAATTGTTAACGGTATTGAATTAACATTTTTTACCTGATTGAGTTTGTCAATTAGAGTATTCTTCTACTTATACAGTTTCTCTTAGGACTTTAAGTTCTAACTATAAGTTAAAACAAATAATACTGTAGTAACTAATATGTTTTAAGAGTCATTCAATGTTAAGGACGAATTTTAGTAGTTTCTTATCAAAGTAGCTTGAAAAATGTCTACAAAGGCACTCAAAGAATTAAGAAAAATTATTCTAAACTAACATTGTACGAAGATCGATTTAAGTTGGGACGAAATAAAGACATGAAACAACTAGTAACTACAATTTAAAATGTGTAAAACGTTTAGCTATAACTATTTTAACCAAATAATTTAGAAATTCTATCAATAGTTTATAATTATTAAATATTAATATATATATTATTTATAGTTTTTGGGGCCCTAGTTATTCCGGGGGCCGAAGGCCATTGCCTTGCTGGCTTTAGTCTCCAGCCGGCCCTGTTATGTGTTGCCAATACATTAGAAAAGTGACCACAGAAATCTCCGTTAATTGGAGGGGGGGGGGGGAAGTATTTTTAGTCCAAAAGATAATGTCGAGTGTATTTTTGGACCAAAAGATGGACGGAGCGTAGAAGTAAACCATATACCAATCGATAGGAATATTTTTAGCCCTTTTCGGAAAAAAACTTATTTCATAACTTAATGCGAATGTGATTTAATATTGTGGGATAAATTTATGAAAGTTTCGAATTCCTAATGGATCGTTGTAACATTGCTGCCAAGTTTGAGTACGTACTCACGCTTTGATAATTATAGTTACAAAAAAGAAAAGAAAAAGATTAACAATTGGAAAGAAAATAAGGAAGACTTACCAAGGAAACTCGTGTGACGACCCGAAGGGTCATCACCGTAGTTCTTCCTTGTTCCGCGCTTTCGAGGCCTTGAAAACCTCGCTTTTAGTTGCCTCGATTGGCGAGCGCAGTTCGGGCGCATAGCCGGAAAGTTTTTATACTAGAATATGTGAATTATGTGAAAAATTTGATGAATTTTGATATTAATATGCATAATATTGACTTCGGTCAACATTTTGGGTAAACGGACCCGGACCTGTGATTCGACGGTCCCAGAGGGGTCCGTAGAAAAATATAGGACTTGGGCGTGTGCCCAAAATTAAATTCCGAGGTCCCAAGCCCGAAAAATGAATTTTTGTGTGAAATTGTTTTCTGAAATTAATTAAGGAAAATGAAGAAGAAAATTGATAAGAAAACTGTGGTATTGGGCTCGTATTTTGGTTCCGACGCCCGGTATGAGTCTTAAATATGTTTTAAGCACTATCTGTAAAGTTTGGCTAAAAACGGACGTCATATGACGTGTTTCGGACTTAAAGTGGAGAATTTGAGTTTTATGAAAGTTGAGAGAAAAATCGTGTGTTTTGAGGCTTGATCCTATGTATATGATGTTATTTTGGCGATTTGATCGCACGAATGAGTCCATAAGATATTTTTAAGATCATATGTATGTTTGGTTTGGAGCCCCGAGAGCTCGGGTGAGTTTTGAGTAGGGCCCGGGAGGTTTTAGACTTAAGAAAACGCAGGTTCAGGTGTTGCAGACACCAGCGCGGCCGCGGTTATTTCCGCGTGGTCCGTGCTGGAGCCACGCGGCCGCGATGCATTTCTGTGCGGTCTGCGTGGCTGAGTCTGAGGGTTAGGGTTTCAGGTTAACCAGTGCGGCCACGCACCAAAACAGTGCGGTCCGCGCTGGAAGGGTTCAGAGAAGCCCCAATTTTTCTCCCACTCGGCGCGGCCGCAACACATTTTTGTGC